CTTTGAACTGATGAGTGGGGAACGGAGGGGATATACCACAGCTGCAAATCGATCCACTGCTATCAGAACCAGGCTCTGAATAGACACAATAAGGGAGACATCAGATAAGAAGATTACCAGCTTACACAAGGCCTGGCCAAGAGGACCACCGATCAGCCAGGAGTCTATGTAGAGCAGTTGAATTTCCCGAGGAATCAAGAAAATTGGAAACAGCAGATCAGACATAGCCATGTTTACAATGAAAAAGTTGATTGGTTTTCTCATGGTTTTCGTCTTGTAAACAATTATTCCGACGACAGTGTTCCCAGCCAGCGAAACAAGAAAAATCAGGCAGTAAGCAAAGGTCATTCCAATTTCTCCTGCTGTGTGATTCCAGTAGCAGCCCGATGGCTGTGTTCCATTCATCACTATGTTCAAATTTTCCGACATAGTCGTCCAGTTTCTTTTTTCGCTCTTACGCTCACCAATAACGTTTCTGGTGTGTTCACTTCAGCAATAATGTCACTTTGTTTATGTTCTACCGAAAACATTTACTTAACGATTTGGCAATTTTCGCGACAGCAGATCCACGGCCTATTTGCGATAATAATTACGACTTGTCATTTGCGCTTACCTCATCAAAAACAAGTGACCTATCAGTTTGTGCCATGTCACTGCTGCGCCAGATTGACAACTTTTGTTTTCACTTTATTCTGTAGTCTGTGATAAACAGTCGCCCATCAAATTTTCCATCAAGATGAGTCATGGAGAACACACACGATTTTCAACACTCGAGCTCAGTTCAATCATCCTGATTTCCTAGCAGAGACTGCTTGTTGGAGTTTAGAGTTAGAAATTTTAATATCCAGTATAATGACAGCGTAAACCACCTAATCAACGGCTGCCACGAAAACGAATTTACTCTGCAGAGACATGAAGTTTTTTTCGAGTATCCAGCTCAGTCTTTTAATTAAAATAATTCAAGAGACTCCTGGTATACAAACCGTGCATTGCAGATGATCGACGTTTTCAATGGCTAATATCTTGAGGATCAGATTCAATTTCGGTTTTATCACACAAGAGACAGTTTCTTTAAAAAGTGTTTGCACCTGTTTACAAAAAGAGAAGAATCTGGGTGGAGACGGGAGAGGAGAGGGCGTGTAGTCTGATTGTCTCAAAAAAGGAGAAACCAGAAAGTGTAAATATTGATGTCAAATAAAAAACTGCTAAATTGCTTTCTTACTACTTCTTCAAGTGTGATCAACCTTTTCTGTTTCTCAAGAGAATGAAAAACTCCGCTTAATTTGCAAACAGCTGGTTAAAAACATAATCACTATTTTATAATTCGTTTATTTTAGAGAAGTTAGAAAAAGATATCATTTAAATTGCTTTTTATTTCTGTAAGCAGTTGTTAAAGCCGTTAAAGACTGCGAACACCAGGTCAAACTGGAACCCTCTACGTTCTATGGCTTTTGTGTTCTATTTGTCTATTTTCTGTTCTTCTCTGTTTTTCAGGTTCGCTAGGTAACATGAAAGGTGTTTTAAGTCTTTCCTCTTAGCTTTTTCTTTATAAGAGTAACTTTTCTTTTTCACTCAATAATATCCCAGTTTGAGTTTAATGTTGTATTTAAAGCTGGTGTCTGCAGCA